GCTGTTTGCCGAACCTTCGAATGCTGTCTTTCAAGGGTGCAATGCGACATGGTTCTGCCGGGGACCTTAGAAGAACTATATTGCGCATCGACGCGCCCAATGTCGAGCACCTTTGCATCAACGTCCCCACCGACGTCGTTCGCGCCAAGCTGCGCACCGTTCGCCTTCAATCGGGTTTTGGTAACGACACCGAGGGTGCCGACTACGGGCACTTCCTCGAGGAGTGGCGTGATACTCTCGAGGAGGTTCAGATCGACCGGCTAGTGGGCGCAGGATGGCGTTCGGACTTCTCATGGCAAAGGATATTGTCCTCACTCAACCACGGATCTGTGCAGATATTACGGCTGTTCGACACAGACGGCGTTACTCCCGATGAGCTTCATGGTCCGTGGCTAGATCTTCCAGATCTTCGCGTGTGTATTACTGCCAGTCTCCTCAAGTTCAAAACCCCGCCAAGCCTCATCCACGCAGAGGTCTGTGCGCGCACATTTCAAGAGCTGCACCCCACTTTGGACGGTTACACGAGAGCTTCACTCTTGAACGTAGAGTTCACAGAGAGGACAGCCGTGTGTTCTCATTCGCTCTTCACGGGAGAGATGGAGTTCTACAGTCTACGATCCCTCATCGTCAGTTCTACGCTGGACGGCAGTGCTATGGACTTGTTGGATTCCGGGCGGTTTCCCCAGTTACTAAGCCTCGACGTTCAGACCAGGATCACTGCCGAGAACGCAGAAGAGCGCGACTTCCACCAATGCACGGAAGGGTTGCGGTTCATTACCGGTGATAATGGTGGACTATTTCGCCCTCTGGAACTCGCGGAGTCAGCCAAGCAACGCGGCCTTGGGCTGGAGCGTTCCTTTATCATTGATCGACTTCGGCGCCGCCTTCAAAGTCTGCTAGACGGGCCTGCAGCGCTCATAGTCAGGACTTCCGGTCAAGTCGGCAACAGATCGCAATGCGTCACGTTCTCACTCGTTGATGAGATCATGCAGAGGTGTATCGGGACGACGGCCGAACCAAGACATGCTGGTCTTCATCTTTCGACGCGCATCGACGAACTAGACTGGTGCCGTTGTACTTTGCATAATGGGTACGACACGTCCGCTCTTCGCTGGCTCGCGGCGGTGGCGCTTCCCAACGTCAATAGCATCCGCATGACGCTTGACCTCCGGGAACCGCGCGTTGAAATGCCTTCAAGGATGCGCCTTCGACGGCTCGATACTCATAGTTCTATCTCCCCGGACACGGACTGGCGCGGCCCACGATGTGGCTTTTGGACGCTGCTAGACGCCCTTGCACCCGTGCATAAGAGTAGCGCTTCTGAGGCTCTTCTCAACAGTTTACGCATGATGCCAGGCATCGAACGTCTGGAGATACAAGTCGTTCGCTCCCGCAATTATACAGGCGTCAGCCTCCTTCGCGCTATCATAGAAGCAAATCGTAGCGATGACAACCTCTACACAGATGCTCCGATCCTCGCCGCGCTCTCCACGGTTGTCTTGATGGCATCGAGGGATCACAAGTCGATGCCCATAGCGCACAACGGCAGCAAGCTATGGGCAGAAATCCTAGCCTTGGCGACGATACGTCGCCGCTTGTCAGATGCAGGGAGATGCCCGGCATTGTCTGTCATTTTGTCGGGGAACTTCTGCGTGTGCAAGACTCCGCTTAGGGATGCCGTACGCATACGGGAACTGAAGGAGCTGGTTAGCGTGTCGATCGTACCAATAGCAGAAGGTTGTACACGGTGCGGGTACAGGAATGGTTCGCAATAGAGTCATCAGCTACATTTACTCCTGTACCAGCAGAACACTTGCCATTTCTCGTGACTCGTCTGAACGCCTCCTTCGGCCGATAATTGAAAGTCAGAGTGTGAGAGATTCTTTCGGGTGATGCCGATGGCAGATTCGAAGCTTTGTTGATCAAGCCCACATTCCCTTCTGAATGTCATGTCGAACGCTCTGTCTGCGGATGTGTTTATTCCCAGTATGTACGGCTACGCTCCTGAAGTGCGGTCATAGAGCTGATAATGGGGTATTAGATACCAGCCATGTAACGCTCATACAGGCGATAACAATGACTTTTGATTTCACAAATGCAATCCCTTGGAAGTATTCCCTGTAGTCCAGACTCAAGAGTGAGGGCTTCCCGCAATTAAAGCGTAGTATGGACCCGAAGAAATAGCAAGCGTGAAGTATTGACATCGAGCCAAAGCTTGGGGGTGTGTAAAGATGTGTGATGT